TCTACCCTTTGAAAATCAAACCCTGCAATAATCAATATTTTTGAGAATTTCTCCGGGTATGAAAAACAAGTAACAAAAACAAAACCAAAAATCCTAAAATAAAGATGGCTTTTGCAGTAATCAAATGCAGTTCCAAGCTGTATATCCATGAGCCCAGTCCAGGTTGACTGATTCAGATACAGTGAACTTGTGAACTTCTGAACTTTGTGCCATTATATGGCTGTTAACATTTGTTCAGTACTATAGCAGAAGATTAGCTGCACAAAGTGCCAAATATAACATGAGTCATATTGTGTAGGACTTCATCCTGGGGTATCTCAGCTGAGCTGCGGTCATTCCCAGGAGGGAGACATTCTGTTCCAGGCTTTCATGCCTCCAGCACCATTTTCAATATAGTTGGCAGCTTTCTTCTGACACAAGTTGCAGTGAAAGTAGTGTGAAGTGTTGCTGTCGATGCTTTCTGATACATCTGTGTCCCTGGCCTTTCTCTGCAGCATCCAACCTGCCAATCAATCCACAGCCTTGTCTTCTCCATGCCTCTGCAGCTGGCACTGCCAGCAGCTCACAGCTCATCAGGCTTCTGCGAGCTGGCTTAGACAGCACAGTGTATGGGACCAAGAACAACTGCACACACGTTGTTTTCCTCTCTTGGTTTTTTGGGGTGTGATTTTTTTGGGTGGGGGTAGAGGGGGAGGAGGTTGGGGTTTGTTTGGGGTCTTTTTGTGTATGATTTCTTTTAGTTTTACCCAGCTCTTCACTGCAGGCTTTATTAGTAATGTGTTTGTTTTCTTTTATTGTAGTCCTGATTTTTTATAGCTCAGGGAATTTATATATTGGAGACTTATTTGAAGATATTCTCACTGTTTTAAATAAGCTCTCTGAGAATCCAGGGCAGTATAATAGGCTTGTCTGGTTAAGCCCACTGCAATCTTTGGCATGCCTGGGACTACTGTGCTTTTATTGTTCCAAGAGGATGAATCTCAGATATGCTTTGAAATCCTCAGAACAGGATACAGATGTTCAAGTGACAAAAGCCAGTGCTCAGTAATCCTAATGCACCAGGATACTTCTTTTGGCAGGATCCTGGCACTCAAGCTGTTATTCTGATCTGCTGGCCGTCTGCTTTCCATTAATCACTTCTGGCAGAAGAAAAGGCCTTCCAAAAATCTTTCACCTTTGGCCTATACTCAGGCAGCAAAAAGGATGTAGCAGCACACAAGGTTTGTGCCAGACAGGATCCTCAGCCTGAGAGAACGATTCTGAGGTTTTTGCCATGAGATTCCCCACAGGTCTGTCCTGGAAGATTCAGCAATCTTGTCAGCCACACCCCATTTTAGGTTTCTTTATCTAAATGGGGTGGTAGACCTCAGTTACCCTGCCTGTGTTTGTAGCAAGCTGACAAGTTAGTTCATGCCTAGCACAGATGTGGCAGGACAGTATACGAGGGAAGAAGATTAGAAGATGGATAATGCTGTACAAGCTTTTTCTTAAGACTTTTGTGAGTGAGGGAAGAAAAGGAGGAAAGGGAATCAAGAAAATATTGATCTGAGTCCAAGTCAACTTCAGCCTTTTCTTTTCTGCACTTGGACCATTAATACAAAAATCTTTAGAGAAAACTTAGTGATCTAAAACAGAAAAAAACCTTTCAAGAACACCACATATTACTAACCATTAAGATAAAATCTTTAAGAAAGTCAGCACTCATTATTAAAGAACCCAAAATACCTTTATTTTACTCCTAATGTCTTCAAAAACACTGAATGAATTTATATATCTGTCGCTCCCCCTCAGTTAACCTCCTTCATTTCTTTCAAAGGGAAGTAAGAAATCCTCCTTTCTAAACCAGCAACTTTCTTACCTGAGAATGAATTCTCACAGTTCTTCAGTGGTCAGCCTGGCATTTGAGATACCAGGGATCTGCTGGTCCCAACCACCCACTGCCCCAGGATCCAAATAGGTTTATACTCCCACATCTTGCACAGCTGGATCTGGTGACCAGTGCCTCTTAAGAGCTGAAACAAGAATAAAAATGATAATGATATGTGCATTTAGCTTATGAGGGGGATTTCTTCAGATTAACTCAAAGAGCAGAGACAGGTCCTTAATCTTTGTGCAGCTCTAGGTGTAAATTCTTCCTACATCTGACATGGTAGCATTGGATTAGCTGGAACTGAACTTTGAACATCTTGGAAAATGTGAATAAAGGTAAGCTCAGGCTGTGGTCACCCTCTGGATGACATGCTCACCAAACCATGTGCTGGCAGGGAAGATCCTGTGGCTTCCCATGGTGCTGCAGTGGTCTGGGCTATTCTGTCATTCATTGCCAGTCCTCCCATGCCATAGGAAAAGCAAAGCAGGGATTTGTATTTATAAACAGTATGTGGAATACCGAGGGCAAATCAACAACTATCAGATGATAAAGTCCACATCCCGCTGGAAAGCCAAAGTGAAAATGACACAGGCTGTGAACCATCTGTGAGCCACACCAGCCAGGGCAGGTCATTTGCATGTGGTAGAGATAATGCCCAAGAAGGAGCCTGTCTGTGGATTTGGCTGTAACTGTCTTGTAGGAAACTGCTTCTGGGAGATAATAAAAGAATTCTGGTATATAAACCCCATTCCTAGTCAATGTGCACACATCAGTACAGCCCTGACTCGGTCACACCTTCACACCGGCCTGTTCCTGCAGCCCAAATCCCAGTCCAAATCATAAACACAGCATTTCTGCAGTGCTGGGACAGAGATAGCTTTTTTAACTAAAGCTCTGGTTTTCAGTTGTGGTAACCCACAGCTTGGGGAAACAGCCCAGTTAAGAGAAAACCAGAACAACCAAACAGAAGAGCACCTTTGGAAGGACTTGTCTTCAGAGCAGCCAGAGGCCCTCAGCAAGGGCCACCTTCAGCAGAGCCTGCTGCAAACCTCTCTCCTTTTTCCTCTGCTCTCTCCTCTTGTTCATCTGATAGAGCCTGCAGGAGAGCCAGCCTGCAGAGATGTTTTTCTAGGGTTTTCCCAGCCTCCTGACTGACAGCTTGCACCTGTCCCGTGTAGGGCTGTTACATTCCCTGGCATTAGCCAGCGGCTATTTTTAATTGGCAGGACAGAAACAAGAGGGAGAGCCTTTGGCCAAGTGTTGCAACCCTGTTACTCACAGGCTGAATCACTTTCTGGCACCCTGATTGAAGCACTTGCTAACAAACTTTGCTGTCCTCTTGAGGAGCACTGGCACTGAGCAGTGCCCCGCAGTGCTGTTTGCTGGTGTGGGGGCAGGAGAGCACCTTCAAATCACTCATCAGGAAACTGAGCTATGGAACATCCTCCAGAGCCTACTCAGTGTCTCACAAAAGAAGGCAGAGGTTTCTAAGAAACACTGGGACCCACTGGGAAACAAGATAAGGACTGCAAGAACCCAGACCTAATCTGGCCACTGACTACAGTTTGGCTGGAGCCTGAAGCAAAAGAACATTCGTGGTTTTACAGAAGATGATGCTTGTGCTTTGTTTTTATTGCTGTCTTCTCTCTTCATAACTTGGGCTCATTTGTAGGTCAAACTACCACTTGGAGCAAACAAAATTCAGGTGTGCCTCTGAAAGGCCCTTTGGAGCACAGCACTGCCACACTCCTGCTCCTCCAGCACAGCAGGACACGTTCCCTTTACCTTCTGCTGTAGCATGAAATGCAGCTTGGTTCCTAGTTTGGAGCAGGGGAGGATGGGCACAACATCACTCATTGTATTTCTTGCAGAATCATGCACCAAAGTTTTTATGACATATCACAGTTTTCATACCTGTGTAAACAAGTCACATCAGGTTATTGTTCTGTACAGGTTCAGTATTACAAACTTCCCTCCAACACTAACAAAAACCATCAAGGAATTTTTTTTTGAAGTGCCATTAGGATACAGAAGTCTTATCTGTTTAATTTCCCAAAAACACCCCACAAACCCGTAACATCGTGAAATAATTTGAATCAAAAACTCTGGAAGGGGTCTTTGTGATGAGAACTTTTAATGAAGTTGCAAAATCCAGTAAAATTTCAGGTTAATGTTATCAGCCCCTTTCTGGTGCTTCCATTCGCACATCAGAGATTCCTTAGTGGACAGTCACCTCTTGCATATTTTTTGTACTCCACATGAGCTTCATTCTCCACTGTCCTTCACAATATTTATGAATTGCTATTGCCTATACCACCTAAAGACCCTTCATCAGTGTTACTGTAAGCAAAGCAAACTTGCTGCCTGCTGTTGTCTCCTCTTCTTCCTTCTGCCCCTTTCTTTTTAGGGCTATTAGCCTCCAATAAGAGTACTTGAAAATCTATTAGTGATCAAGAGACAGATTCAGTTTTGATGACTTCCTGTAGCAGAGTGAGGGGGGAAAGAGTGAATTTTTTAAAATATTTAGATTGAATGATGAATTCTTGTTTGAAAAGCATTGCCTCTTTCAAATCAATCTTGCATTCTGTGGCATTAGAACTTGAAAAGAACCTTTTGATAAACTAGTGACACTATTAGAAAAAAACAGAACTGTTACCAAATTTGCTGTCAATATTTTGCCCAAGTCAAATGACTTCTATGAACAGTCCAGTGAGTACTTATCCTATCCTAGTATCAAACTTCAGTACAATTTTGACAGCAACAGGAATTTAGTATTTGGCAGCTGTTTCCCTGTTCCAGGGAAAACCAGTAATTTTACCAGAATCTGTCACAGATCAGTGCCAAAACAAAATGCAAACTCCTTATAGGTAGCTAAAAACTTAAGACCACAGCTGTAAACCTGTAAATCCTGCATCACCCAGAACAGTTACTTATCCAGAAATGATTTGAAGTATATGCACATACTTATAACAAATTCCCACAGCATGTGCCAATTATTTTTTATCAGCATTACTTCCATACTGAAGCAAAACCTCGTAACACCATCACACCTATGCTCAGAAATACTTTCACAGTCACAGCACAGAGACAATGAACCATCATTTTGCATATAAAATAAATCAAGCATTTGTCATTTTTCAAATATTTTATTTTAGTATTTTTAAATATGTTTAACACAACAAAGATATAAAACAATATATTAATTCAATCTGAGTTTAGAATCAAAACAATATTTACTTATTTACAGTATTCTACACTTCACTGGCATACCTTCTAGCTAATAGATAACACTATTTTCTCAGTCAGGACAAAACTGAAGAACAGTTCCTTGTGAAAAGCCATGTTTCTACATCCTTATTATGTTAAGTACTATGTACAATGCAGTTTGTGGTTTCTCAAATTTGACAAAATTTCTCCTTTTTTGACAAAACTGAATTGAAAGAGCAAAACTAAGTTACAGTTAGTAATTTTAACTATACAGTCAGGGCCAATAGGTCCAGGGCCAATATTGTTTTCCACATTTATCACCTTAAGTTCTTACACACTTAGTACAAACTGGCTTTTAAAATGTGCATGCCACTGAATTATGTACATAATACTCACTGCAAATTTGTTAGGATACAAGTGGTAAGTCTGCAGGATACTGCTATATGGAAGGTTCAGTGTTCATAATACCGTAGTGTTTGAGGAGTTGTGAGGGTTTTTCTGTGGTTTTCTTCATATAATGAACAAGACATCATCAGTATGTTCACTCCAAATAACTTTTTTCCCCCCAGGAATACTGTTTCAATTAGAATGGTAACAAGGTCAAACATAGATCAGAAATATTTTATATTTTATAATTTCATAAACCAGTGGTCTATCAAATAACCCTTATTGTTGAAGTCTAAAGCACAAAATAATTCCGAGGGTAAGATGTCTCACTGCTAGGACTTCTGTCAAATATACTTCTATCTTGAAAAGACTATGGTGGTTTTTGAAGTTACAGGTCAGATTTCTAAAAAGGTACCCATGGTTATTAAAAAAAAAAAATCACTATTGTCTGTAGATTACTGCAAATTCTCCCTAACTTTTCAGTAGGAACTACATGGACCTGATGAGAAACTATCGCAGTTGTTTTAAGTTCTTATTGTTACACTCCAGGTCCATAAAATCTACTGTTTGGGTTTTTGAGTTTGTTTTTTTTCCATGACTGATGTCTGAAAACCAAATGGGCTTTCATACATCAAAAAACTAGCTAAACAGCCACGGACAAGTATAGCACTAAGCACGTAGGCAGGGGTTAAAAAACGAGGTATTAATTGCTGCAAAAGACTTTTACTGGTGTCTGAGCCCAACTCTTTCCTCTTTACTCTCTTTTTGACACTACATAAGATTCAGCTGTACAGAAAAGATTATAGGAACCTGTGCTTTTATCCTCCTTAGAGGGTTTTAGTAATTCTAAATTACATTATTTAACATGCTTGCATGAAAAATAACTTTTTTCCCCAAATCATTTAGCTGACCCTTGCTTCTTAAAGCAGGTCATTATCAAGGTTTTATTCAGTCTTTTGGCTTTTGACAGATTTCTTCTTTCAGAACCCAGTTAAGTAGCAATTTCTTTTAAATTCTACTGGAATGTTTTCTTCTACAGTAGATAGGAGGGGAGACATCAGAGAAAATAAAAAACAGTGACATTACCTATTCCCCTTACTGTACCAAGATACCACACAGTATGCACTGGGCCTTATCCAAAAAAAATGTTTAAACTAAAATGGTAACCCTCACTGAAGTCAAGAGTATTTAGTAATTTGCTTGAAGTTAAGCATACAAGTCAAGCAGTGCACTTCTGGGATCCAATTCTTGCTAGTCTTGGACATTTAAATACTTCATGCCTATCTACATTTCTGTACTGACACTTTGTGTGTTACCATGTTTGCCACTGGACATGAAGATAAATTATATATATGGAAGCTTTCCATATCATTGTTCAAGATCAGTTGGAAAACCCTGCTTAAAGATCCTTTCCTAAGTTTTTGTCAGTGTAATCAGAATTTGTTAAAAACCACATCTATGAAGGTCTAACTCTGTGCAGGTGTAATGTCATAACTTTAGAGATCTTTCAGAAATGAAAAACTAAAGGCAAAAAGTTTAGAAAAGCTATTCCAAGAAACTCTGTCATAAGGTTCAAAAAACAAAGAAAAAGGATGGGGGAAGAGCCTGTGTGTCTATCACTTGCAGGTATGTGCATACATATCCCTAAACTTATAAGGAAGAGCTCAGCCCGATTGCCAAGTCTCAAATATTACTACATTTGCTAAGCTAGCAAAAAAAAAAAAAAAAGTGACCCTCCCCTTCTTTTGTATCTATGGTTACTAATTTCAGACTTTGCTGCTTGATTTGTTTGTGCACTCTGTAGTAGTTATGTTGGTGAGACACTTGCACTTGCTGCATTACACAGTAATTCACTCATTATTCTGGGAACAGATTATGTGGGCACTCACACAGACCACAGAAGACAACTTAGCAAAAAAGAGGTGCAAATATGTTAAAGGAGAGCAGTGGTGGCATGTGAACATAAAGGAAGACATCCCTGAACATACTAAGCATTAAATCCAAGGCCCGAGGTGCTCTGCTGCCTTTACTTAAAAGTGCTTCTCAGCAACAGAAGCAGCAAAATGCTTTTAAAACACTGACTCAAAAGGAGGTACAAAATGCTAAGCCTATCAGTTACCTGCAACTTGTTTCCATCTAATTAACAATAAAGCTTACATTCCCAACTTTACAGACTGACCGGTGCTCTCTTGCAAGCAAGATCATATTTTTCTGTCTTCTATCAACTTCAAGCTTTCCTCTTGCATGTTTACAGACAGACACAATGAACTTCCAAAACAGCAGAGGACAATTACCCTGACAATGTAATCCATTCAATGCTAACAAAACCAACCATTTTATATTACTTTTCCTGGGCTTAGGTATCTAGCATCAAGAGAAACAGCACAAAAGAACAATCTTCTTTTAAAAAACAGTGACAGACAAGGCTGATTTCAAATGCAATTTACTTAACGGAATTTGAAAATTAAATTAGAACAAAGAATCCTTACGTTTCAATGTATATGAACTTCACTACAAAAAAATATTGAAATGATAGCTTTACTTTCTGTAAACATTGTTACACTGGACTGTACTTGAAAATTCTCCTGCATGTCTAAGTTGCAGAATAGTATTGCAGTTTAGATGCAGTTATGCCAGTTACTACTCAAATGGTCATTTTCAGAGTCAACAGCTTTGCAAGTTTAATTGCATACCTCTCCATATAACTCAGATTACAATCCTGCACATCCTGAGAACAGATGTTTCCTAGAGTTTAGAAAAACAGCATTCATAACTGTGTGCATTGCAAAGGCAAATATAAGTTAACAAATAGAGCTCTTTCATTATAAAATTCAAGAGGAATGTTCAAATTGCCTTTCTGAAATCAGAAAGTTAAGAGCAGCAAATGGAAAGTCTTTAAATATTTCAGAATATTTTCTCCTTTTTTTAAGTGTAAGCATACTCCCCCAATTTGGATGCAAAAGCCATCAGGCTATGGTAGATTGAACAATATAGTATTAAACCTGCAATTATGCTAAAAAATTGGAATGTTACAAATATAAAAATCTCTGTAATAGTACAGTATACATGTGCTCATTACAGTTGGCAGAGATACTCCAAGATGCATAATTCTTTTGTGGAATAGGAGCTAAATTAAGTTACAAAGGTAACATACCATGAAGAGTGTAAGGTAGTCAAGTTAGTACAGTCAAGGTTAATAAAAGGAATACAATACAGCAAGGAGTAGCCCACACTAAGTTACAAGCCCCCAAACACAAAACCTTTTAAATTCCAAGTGGATTAATTTCTATGCACACACAAGTACATAGTGCCCATTAAGTCAGCTTGTACCAAGCTGGGAATTATTAGTGTAACTTTCTAAAGCTGACTTACACTACATTTGCACATCTGAAGTTGCAATAATCAAATTAAAAGGCCTATATAATTTTTATGATTTTGTACGTTGTACCTATCAGTTTTCATTTGGCACAAATCTAATTTCAAGGCTCTACAGACAACTTTATTATTGTCCCCTTACAATCCACTGCCTAAGAGATCACCAACCCTTGTGTGACCCTGCTCAAGCGTTATGGACTGACAGTGTTGGTTTGAGCTTTTGGGGGATGCTTTGTTGTGGGTTGCGGTTTGGTTTTTTTCAACAAGCAAAACTCAACTGTTTATGGTATCCTTCAGGGTAGTAAATGAGCAACTTATATTAAGAACTAGCCTCTTTTCATAGTTGTTAGAAAAACATATACTGTGTTTTATATATATAACCAAATATACTGTGCATATATATATCCAGAGAAATTCACCATATTGTTGACACCAGAGTGCTAAAACATACATCAACATGAGCACTATTGCCAATACTCACTATTATTATTATTATTCCTGAAAGAGTTACTACATGCATTTTCCCCATCCATTTAGAGGACAGTAAGATACACGAAGACAACTGTTCTGTTTTTCCAACATTAAAGAACTGCTCCTGAAAAGCATGCATGAGTTTGGGTATAAAGCAATTAAGACCACACAAAAGTTACTTTGTGGCTTTAAACTCACTAAAGCTAAGTTTACTTTCAGTGGATGTTCCACTTACTGTAACTCATTTAAACACAAAAGGGAAAACTTTCAAGTGCTAGAACAACCATACAGACAACTGATAGACTAGACTAAATAAGTTCTCATTAAAAAAATATCATCACTACACAGCCACAAGGCCGACCTTCATTTTTGGCAACCTGTATGCAGACCATTTATACTGTCAAGACTTGTAATTTAACAGTTAAGAGACCCTCTCAGCATGGAACTATACTGTTTTCTTCATTATGACACAGACCTCCTCAATCTTTATATATACACAGTTTGTTTTAAAAATTACATTTATGACTGCTTTTAAAGAAAGGCTTTATAAAGTTTTAATTTTTTTGTCAGTATGTCAGTATATGTAAAGGCTGGCACTCGGGTAACAAAGATTATATGGACCTGTAAAGAGTGTGTTATATTCAATACATATTTCAGGTTAATGTTCCATAAACATTCACACAGAACCTTACCAAGGGTAACAGTATTCTGGTTTATATTCGTGCTTCACTGATAGCCTTTACTCATCCCTGCATTGTTTTCTGTTTTCACAAGGAGAAAACAAAACACGAACCTGTAAAGTAAGGAAACCCCATTTTATGGCTAAGAATCCAAGAAACAAGGCAAGGAGGAGATCATGGAGTGAAAAATGTTACTTGACTTCCCCCTTGTAGCTAGCTTTGTAGGATCTTAGCCATAACACTTCATAAAAATCCGAACTGACCCACACAGTCTTCAACCAATTAATCTTTTTAGTATAGTAGGTTTTGAAAAGGGCCAGCAATACTCATTGGGAACAGTACCATTAACATTGCATTCAAAAAAAGAAAACATTGGAAACCATATCCTTGCCCTCCTACTCTGATGATATGCTCTAGTATTAGCCAATGTATGGTAATACAAAAAGAGCCTTGTCGTGATGTAAAAGGCAATGAAGACATCTATAGAATAATGTTCATGTGCAGCCAAAATGAAGAAGATTCCAAAGAGATTCAGGACCCAGGACAAGGTGTGCAAGAAGTTCCAGCTCCTTGGTGTATCTGGAAGAAAACAGAAAGTGCTTAACCTTGACTGTCTCAAAATGCAGGCCTAGACATTCCAAGTTTTTATACAGATTTTTCATCCAAAAATGAGATTAAATTACTCTCTTCATTCAAAAATTTTGTATACAGGTCCAACAAATCCAACAAAAGCACCACATAAGTTATAGATATCCATCAATTAATTACTTTATTTACAAATGCATTTCTGGATTAACAAGAGCATCCTTAAATGGTTTAGCACCCTGCAAATCAGAATTCTTCGTTCAACCAACTTCTTTTAATGAAAATCATGTCTTTTCTATGTTACAAGGAAGAAGATGCAATGAAAGCTACATTACTGTAATTGCAGTCATTACATCATAGTTGAACTCTAATTATATTTGCTTGCTATAACATGTATCAAATCACTGTTGGTGTTTACAGAAAGCTACTGGTGTTTCATATATTCTCACTTGCTATGGGGTTTGGTGTTTGGCTTTATGGATTATACTAAATGCACAGAAACCTCGCCAGCTATTTTGGCTGACAGGAGTCGGTGGCAGATACCTAGGGAAGGGAATAGTAACAGACAATCCTAAGTATCTTCCCAAGTATTCTCCCAGTAGCAAGCCAGGAATTCTAATTTCTTGGCTCACATGTTCATTGAAAAGTGCCTTATTCCTCCCCCATGATGAATACCCCCAGCCAGGTGGTGCTCCTTTCCTCACTGTGACTTGACTGTCACAAACCTGAGAAAGAGCAAAGCAATCTGAATTTTTATTGTTTGCTTAAATGTTACACGTTGAACTTTTTGAGGAGGTCAAGGAGCAGATATTCTTAATACTTAAGGACATTCAAATGTTTACACTCTCACATCTCTGTACATATTCTTAAGGACATTTAAGTATTGACACTCTGTACTCACATTCTGTGACAAAGAAGTTGAGCATGGTCAGGACAACAGTGTGACCACTGAACATATAATCTCCACATGTATGCACTCCAGTCAGAGTCATTCCAAAGCCACTCCATATTGCAAATGCCCGCTGGAGTTTTGCCCAAACATTGCCATACAACTGAAAAACAGTGATATTAACCTTTACTAAGTTCCAATTCCACTGCCCAAACAGTATATCCCTAAAGTTAGCTGTACTGCACTATTTTTGTTTAATACCATTTATCATGTTGCATCTTTTATTAAAATGCAGGTTAGCACATCTTTGGATTTCACCGTGGCAATGAGTCACATTAGTAACTACAATTACTAATTGTATTCATCATACCTCTTATGAATACAGGAATTTAGAGCAAGTATTTTATTCCAAGTGATTTACCCACACAGCCTGCTACCTTTTTTTGAATGTGTTCAGTCTCCCAAATGTATCATTATCAAGCTTTCCATTTGTTCAGCTCAAACCTCTCCTAACTAAAAGTTAGGATGAAATCATAAAATCCCATGTTCTAAGAATATCCCTTATGAGAAGGGTTGAAATAATAATAGTTTGTTGGGTTTTTTTTCAAAACCATGCAACCAACAAAAGAAAGAAGCAATTACTTCCCTTTCAGTCTTTCTTCATGAAGTTAGTAGCTTAAGTGCACACACCTCTTTGAATGTTTTACAGTGTGAAACATTCTGAACACCCTTCCCCAAATAACCATATACTCTCCAGAGTGGCAAGTGCTTCTAAGACCCCCAGGGATGTTTGCCTGCCTGTGCTAATTAATGCAAGACAAGGAAACGGGAGAGAAACATGATGCTCTTAAAAAACACATGTCTAACACTATGGTTGCAACAATCTTAATCATGTCTTAAATATTTTTTTACAAAAGGAAACAGGAAAAATAATTTAAAGCACTTGAAGTTCTTACCTTTCCAGTACACTGCAAGTGCTGTCCTGGCACCGAGAGTGAGGTAACAAACATTGTAATGCAGCGTAATAGAAACACTGTCCCCATGAGGCTGCACAGCCTGCGCAGCAGTATAGATCTGGGAAGAGCACACAGCAACTGAGATCAGGAAAGTTATGATAAAAACATTTCACCTCACTCCACCTTAATCCTATTAAGTCCTGTCCTCATCACTGCAAGTTCCACAACATTTTTTTTTCCAATGAAGTAGTACTGTAAAAATAAGGTTCCACATGACAGGGTGAGACATTATAACAAGCTTACTGTCACAAAAAGGTACAGCTCCACCTCTGCAGCTACTCTTGTGCTAGCGTTGGCACTCATACCTTCTGTTGGCAAACTGATAAAATTCAATAAACCAGGGAAAATTTAACTTAAAATATGCATGAAGACAAATGCATTTTCTATCCCTCTGTGAACTGCCGGGCTGGCTCAGATATCCTGTGGCAATTCATTCTTGTAGCACTTTCTTATATACAAAACGGTTATAGCATGAGTGTATATACTGACAACTCTCTGAAATACCTATGTTATGAAGGAAATTATTTATAAATATGGTAGAAAAGTAAATTCAGATTATTCCTTTGAAAGATTCACAAGCCATCATTCTTGACTAAATCCTCCCTAATCAATTTTAACAGCGACATAATAGGAATTGACAAGATTTGTACAAAACGGAACTTCTTAAATAATCATAATAAATTCTTATTATGGTCTTTTCTCTGCATCAAAGTACCAGTTAAATTGGATTTTATAATATCTACCTGTGTTTGTGAAGCAGAAGAACCAAGAGCCAAATGTAGCAAAGAATTACACCACATACTTCAGTCATAGCAAAAGCCCATGGTATCCTAGGGACGCTAAAAAAAAGACAAAGCAAGAAAGTTAATACAAAAGCTTATTTTTTTTCTCAGTCTTGGTACTGAAAATAGGGGTATGTGAAGTTCTAACGTCAAAACTAATTTGCATTAATCTGACAACAGTATAAACTGCAGCCAAAAATACTTTTGTTAGGTTGAATGAAATAGAACTTGAAATATATTCAGTTGTGTTATCTCCTTCCTAATAATGTGCTTCCAGTTTACACAGAAATCACTAAGGGAAAATCTCTAGTATGCTGTCTTAATTTACATGTGACTTACTAACAGGATGTGTTCCTCTACTATTGTTTCACAACAACCTTTTTCATTCTGACAAAAACTTGCATCATCATGTCAATTATGTTGCTTATGCTTGCAAGAATGCCATGACAATGCAATGAATTAAATGCTGCAAGGCCAAAAACATTAAACACTTGTAATGAAGCAGAACTGCAAAAAAAAAGTATCAGGGGAAAATAAAAATTGTTTTCAAAATTTCACTACAATAATCACTACATGAAAATATTTCAGCCTTCCCTATCAAAAGATTTAAGACCTTCTTGCACTCAGAAGGCACCAGTAACAATTTCCACTCTTCAGTCACCAAAATACAGATCAACAGATTTCAAGAGAGGCTGATCCTTGCCGTTTTTTGCTCCCCCTGATACAAAGGGGTAGCAAAGCACTCAAATATGAGCTTTGTAGTAATCCCCTGTCATTGTTCTGTGAGCTGCTGCTTTCTGGCCTCCCCCATCCTCCTGCGCACTGAATACCATGGGAGCACCCTGGGAACAAATTCCAGTAATGCCACAGCTCCTGTTCTTTCTCCCCTCTTCCACTCTACTGGACGTGGTCTGTCCTTGAGGAGTTATCTACAAATTTATGGAAGATTCTGCACACTTACTCAAATGATTAGAGTATTACTGACTTCTTGGAAACTATTAATGAAAATGGAAATTATTGGCAGGAACAGGAAGATCACAAAGGCTGAACTTTTTAACAGTTTAACTCATCTTTTAAAAGTCTCTAGGCAGTTAAGTTCTCCATGGTGCAAGTGCACTTTCTCAAAAGGAACATTTATCCTCTAATTAACTGGTTGTCAATGACCAGAATTTGACCTTTGCCATTGTGTCTCTTCTATGCCTGAAATGAAATATTTTCTTTAAAAAAATGAACAGGTACTGCATAACCTGTTAAAAGAGATGTTGGTCTTTTCATTCAACTTCAGAGTTTCCCTAGACCATCTTCAACAAGCTGACAGTGGGAAGACAGTAAAAATACAGTACCAATGCTGTTCCCTTTCAGTTTCCTTGCTCACTCACAGACCAAAATATTCCTTAATCCAAAGGTTTTTTTTATATCAAGACACTTTAAGCTTCATGGCAGAAAATGGATTTCAGAAAATGCATATGGCTGCATATCTGTGCCAGCTGACCATCACACTTTTTACCAGAATGCAAGGATGGATGAAGTAATTACTGTGTTGTAATGATTTTAAGATGTACAACTAAATATAAACTAGGTAGAACAACAGCTCAATTTATTTTCCCCTAAAACCAAATCTCTGCATCTAATTGAGCCGCATTTCCATCTCAGCAGAAGGACTTATTAGACTTTTATTACTATTTTGCAAAGGCACCTTCTAGAGCACACGACACTTTCTTCCAGAGCATATGAAACTTTGGAAACAGAGAAAAGACAGCCTATGTTTTAACCATCACATTACTATTTTGTTTAGAAAGAAAATGTCTTACCTATCTAAAAATATGTCTGGCAGAGGTGGATATGTTTGCATGTCAGGCACTCGCTCGTGTACTATCACCATGACAAATGATGTAAAGCCAAACACTATGAAGACATACACACAACTTAAAACTGTCTTCCAGTACTCTGGGTCCAGTCTTCGTGTGGCATGTTTGTTTTTTCCATTTGCATATTGATACTGATCACCATTCAAGTCAGTAATTGGTCCATCATAGTCCCGAGGTACTTCACCATTACAAAACCAATCTGCCCCCTGTAGTGAGCCAGCTGGGCACACGGTGCCAGCGTGGCCGTCACTGGTGTAACCCAGCTCTTCCAGGACGTCGACATGCTGCTTCTGCAGCTTGCGGATGGACAACATCAGCCTCTTGATATCCCCCAAGACTTTGATTTCCAGAGGAGGGGATCGCAAGTCATACTCAGTAAGTGTCAGCAGGGTAATTCCATCTAGCCTGTGTCTGTTGCACAAAAGATCCACGTATTCACAGAAGCCTTCTTCCTTCAGCCACCTGGCCACGTTCTTGGTAGTCCAGCGCCGAATGCAGAGCTGGTTATTGCCCGCCATCCTGCCCCTTATCCGCCAGTCACACTGACCTGCTGCACAGAGAGACAACACCAGAGTGCTTAACACAGATCACTGACATGCCACTGTCTGTTGCTCAATTTTAGATGCTTAATTAGCCCAATACATTTTACATAAGAGGCAGCTAAAAAACAGATCTAATTTCTAAGGTAAGTAATATAAAAATGACATTTTTTTATTCAAGAAAAACTAAATTAAGTTTATCTCATTTGCTCCTCAACAGAAATCTGAAGTTTCCAAGAAGCAGAATATTTCCTAGATGTATTCAGTACACTGTTCTAATTTTGTTGTAAATAAATAAATCCCACTTTGTTAATTACATTAGGCAATGAAAATCAAATACTATTCTTTAAATACCATCTTAATTAGACTTTTCCACTGTTTGCAGTTCATCAACTACATGAGGAAGTATAGCCAGCAAACACACAAAACTGAATTAAACTGAAACAATACATTTCAATACAGTCCAATATATCCCACTGTTTTAAAATACATACTGAAGCTATGATGACATGACATTCCCCCACTCATTCCAAGTAAACCTAAGCCTAGATATCTGCAATAGTATTGAGCTGAAGTATCTTAGTTGTATGATGATGGTACAACCATCCTATTTCTTTGTTTGATCTCGGTAATTAAGATAGATATTTACTGAATTGTGAATCCTTTAAAATACACAGCTTTCAAAAATAACATTACTAGAAATTAAGCACTGGTTTATGCTTCAAAGCATTTTTAAAATTGATGTGATAGTAAATAGCATAGTAACACACCAAAACCAGATGATATGTATTCTCTTCATACAGATTTCTCAATTGTGTTCATTACTCTAGAATATTGCGTGAAGGAAGGAGAGACAGCTCAGCAACATTTTAGTCACATGGTGGTGACAAGTCACCAGAACAACAACCAGGAAAAAAGTTAACCACAGGACACTATGTGGAACATGACAGAACTCTGAAAGGCTACCAGTAAAGTAAGCACTAAAACATTTATGCAATATTGAAGACCCACAGCAGCAGAGAATGGATTTGTGCATAATTTATATTTGGTGGCTCATGTACAGCTACCATCTAAGAAACAGCTACAATTTCACAGCTCTTTTGTACTCAAAAAAAAAACAGTCTAGCTAACTAAAATGCTTCAATCATGCCAACCAAATCTCAGAAAATACAAGGCACTACAATACGCTGCTGCCACATCATTCAAGGCTTTCAGAATGAAAGCAAAGAAACAGTGTATTTAATCTATTATTTAGCTTCTGTCTATAGTAAACTCAAACCCATATGAATATTCAGCACAGTTCTCCATCTTTTTCAGGAGTACAGCTCTTCCAAAAACAGAACATCTTTCCTTCTCACTTTTTTAAGGAGGTACAGTACCCATTGTGCTCTTAATATAATTACTGGATGCAGCTTTTTCTTCTGCCTTTCATCCAGCAGAACCACAAAATATTTTATACTGTATCAAAGAATATTCAATTTCCCAAATGAGATTTCCCAGCAGTGAAAAATTAATATTTTAGAAGAAAAATGAGCACACAAATCACACTTACCCTTCTAAAATAATTAAGGGCATGATACTTCTGAAGATATTCTCTCGGGATTTGATTGTATATTAAGAACATGTACTTAATTCATTGCTAAAACTTCTCAATACTTCACACACAGTCAATAAGTATATAAGCTTTAATACCTTGATTTAAATAGGTACCCAAAAAAAAAAAAAAAAACAAACCCCAAAAAACTACAAGAATATTTGCATATGCTATATGCTTCCTTCTCCATATAAAAGGGTAATTTCTCATTTTTATGTTGTCTTACTATTTTTGAAAGTGTAGCTCAAAAATAACTGTAATAATTATTTTGGTCACATGGCTAATAAAATAAATTATGACATTTAATTCAATTAAATATCCCGGCCCACTCCCCCTGCAGTGGGATGGAGGGGAGAACTGTAAAAAGGTAAACCCAAGGGGTTGATATAGGAACAGTTTAATAATGGTAATAAAGTAAAATACAGTAATAACAACAGTGGAAATAACAAAGAGAGAAGAATAACACCCAAGAAAGACAAGTGATGCACATTACAACTGCTCAGCACCTGCTGACCTTTGTCCAGCCAGTTGCCCAGCAGTGATCAGCCCTCTGGGCCAACCTGCCCCCTCCATGTATATACCAAGCAGGGCATTCCATGGTATGGAATGCTCCTTTGGCCAGGTTCAGGTCAGCTGTCCTGGCTGTGTCTCTACCAGCTTCTTCTGCCCCTCCTCACTGGCAGAGCAGGGGAAACCAAAAACTCTGACTTAAGGTCAGCACCACTGAGCAACATCTAAAACATGAGTGTATTATCAATATTGTTCTTACACTAATCCAAAACATCCAGTAAAAATAAACAAACTTGAGTTGCTTATCTGAACTTCCAGCTTTCTTTACTCAGAAATACAGATTAAATACTGAAAAAAAAAAGTTGTTAATCACAGTGAGTTTTATAACAGTAATCATCATGGGTTTTCTAAAGGCAGTGAATGTCAACTCACCACAAATACACTCAACTTACTGATACTGTCGTGTAATCAAAGCAACTTCTGAGGACAAAGGCAGGAAACTGTCCCTAACCTAAGAGAATTCTATTCATGTGTTACAAGTCAAGTAGCCTAACATCTGGCATTGCTGGAATGAAAATCAACCCTTACTAAAGGTGCAATAAAAATAACCTTACAACACTGAATGAGCACACCCATCAAAAGTCACTATGGGCTGGACCTGAGAGAAAGTCTACATTAACCTCAAGATGCAACTGATGGGACCTGCTCTGTTTTCAAACGCTGCCAACAAGAGGACACTTAAGCAATTGGAAAATACAAGGAAATGACCACAAAACACAAATTTAAAACATTCCACAGAGCAGGTAGCTAATTTTGTCTCAACAGTAACAGTTAAACTCATTTTTCAATGACAAAGCAACTTCTTAAACCCTGAAACTGTCTTCCCTTTCAGACTACTCAACTAGTGACACTTTTGTGGTTTAAAGAGTAAAAGGCACTTTCCCTAATAATCGTAACACCTGGAATACAGTACAGATCCCTGTGTGCAACTGCTCCTGTTCCTTTTTGAAGCTGAAGAATGCTGCATAACTTTTACAGCACTAGACTGCTATGTAAGAATAACGCAGCAGAGGGCAAGTCCCCTAGATAACTGAACCTGTATTCTGAAAGGAAACAGCTCTAGCAACTACTTGGCCTTCCATATTACTAGTTTTATCACTAAACCAAATAATGGGTAACATTATTTAATGATGAGTAACACACATAAGTAACAAAGCAAGCATAGACTTGAGCATCAGAAGGTAAAATATGCTTTTCACCTGACATCAGCAATGTCTGTAGCTAGTTAGTTGATTATTTTCCTGGTACTGTGACTTAACACTAAGCAAGCCTGTCAACAGTATGTACTGTGTCCCATTTTCCTGCTCCAGCCTTTCAATTAACAGCATGAACACAAATTCATATGAACTGCATATACATAAGTATTTACTTTTTTAAAAGAAAAACATTACTTTGTGAGTCATAAACATTCCTACAATTTGGCTGTGGCATCTTAAGAAATAAGATGCCTCTGAGAGGCTGACTATACCCTAGCTGACAGCAAAATTTCCTAGATGTATATATAGAGAAAATTAACCTCCCTCAACATGATTGTCCATGATTCTATCATATTCCCATCTACTGAATCGCTGCCAGTCAACCATTCATTCCCTAACTTTCCTAGCTTACAGACTTTAAGACTGTATAGAGGTAAAAGTGTGGGAAGTTGAATCTGCTTATGACTACTCTAGCCAAGGAAAAGTAGCATTAGCATCACAGTAACATTAGGCTGCAAACTTGATTAGAGCAGAGTCATAGCAGAAGGGTTAAGCAACCTAGTTAGGTCTGCAGCAGTTAGCAGAGTGCTGACTGGTTTTGTTTATTCTAGACACACATGCAAAATCTCTACTAGCACCATTACTGCTTTACCACCTGCCCTCAGGTACCTGGGAGAGCCTCACCCCTTGATTTTTCCCTCCCTAGGTTCAATTCCCACCATCCTGGAGAGCAATTTTAGGAAGGATGATGAAGAACTACCAGATCTCAAGTGATTTAACCTACATTTTTGTGTGAAGGTTTCAAGCTGCAGTTTCAATACAAGCCATACCAACTCAGCCCCTCCTCTGTTGGCTTAGGAGCACATCCCACACCTCAGGGGAGAGGCTGTTCCCTGTAAAGGCTGCTACTTCACCCAAGTGGACAAAGCCCATGTTGGTGGCCTTGGTTCCCCAGCATAAAAAAGCTACACAACAACATGTGCTGAGCCAGCCTGCAATAATAAGGCTACTGTCACACACCAACTTAGCAATGCTGTGCTGGAAAAAGAACACACAGCATTGCCTTGTTATGCAGTACAAGGCTCAGCTATTCTGCTGACTCTGACTTACATGAGAAGCTTGTCACCTGTTCTTCCTGGAAACTCTAAATTCTTTCGTGCTTATTTAAAGCAAATAGCACCAAAGATTTCACTGCCATATAGCAGACAGTGGTTCAGTCCTTACTTTCTAAATGCCACCAGATGCACATAATATGGGAGGTATCTTGTAAGCAGAAGGACAGAAAGAACACATGCAAAAACAATGCATGATTTTTCAATAGTTTTTAAATACAATGGCTACTATTCTACATATAAAATTGATCAAACACAGCACAACGCCCACCATGAGACAAAAAATGGTATTTTCCTGAAGCAAGACTACAATAATTTCAAATGCATAAATATTGCCGTAAAACTTGCATTGAGTTTTAATTAGTGACTTCGGTATCATAAGTGAGCTGATCGGCAGTAGCTTAACTGTACTCAAAGGTATTAGTGCTATGCATGAAGGTAACATAAGAGATTTCAAAGTAATACTAATTTAGTAAGGAAGATGAGCTTTTTGAGAATTATTTATTGAAGTGCAGCTTGTGGATCAAATATAGCGCTATATTCTTAGCAGTCTTTATGCTGAGACACCTCTATGCAAGAGTGACAGCAGCTACTACAGAAAGTCCTGAAGGTTAAACATTTGTCTTAAGAACCACCAAGTACATTTACATATTGCATCAAAATGAACAGAATACATACTGCTCCCTGACTCTTACACCTCATTCAAGCTAAACAGGTTGTATTATACTCAAGTGAACATTAAGAGCTCAACTCCTAATCTACTAACCAGCTAACAAAAAAAATTTTTATACTACTGCCATAATTCAAGGCACACACAAGTGATTTTTAAACAACTGATCAAGTACTCCACCACTTATCTTAGGATGGCATTCACAGTATTTCACTGTTTGACTAAGTTCTTGAACATTTTACAAGCTAAATATCAGGTGTCGAGTACTTTTCTTCTGGTTTCAAGTAGTGTATCCCTTCTGTAACAGAATGCTGGCTACTCTTTATCCCTATACAACTTAGGAGTAACAACTCAAGTTTCTTTCTACCCTTTCCTTCCCACACCCTCATCTTACAATAGATTTACAATAGGAGAAGACATGAACAAACTCTCCATCCAAATGAATACCAGAACAATATCTAAAGTGAAACTGTGTTTCATCTTACTCTCCACAACCATTTACAAACTGATCTTTCTGGTCTAGTGAAAATCTAATAGCCTTCCTCATTGTAGATGCAATAAAGTTAAGAAATAAAAAAAACTTCTAAAAGGTATGTGGTTATCAAACAAACATACACAATGTAATATGGTTAGTGGACCTCAACCAGCTAAAAAGGCTGTAAAAGCAAGCTTTGTACAAAGAAAAGCAATACTGTAGAACTCAAAACAACTTCAACTTCACACTAATCCTACAGGTTAGTTCCACCTTTCTTCTACATTACAGAAAGTAAAAGGAAGAACAAGACACAGCCATTTCCTTACCTCTGATATCCGGCAAGAAGCACCCCCTACCAAACAGGAGGGGCACTCAAATGCCAGGAAATGTCTTCTGAGCTCTTGCCACTCCAGAGCACAGCATGATCAGCTGCTCTGTGGAGGTGGCACAGACACCGTGTCCAGCTGCACAAGGGAGCTCTGTGGAGACAGAGCAGACATTAGACAAGTTGAATCTTGCCATCAAGTCATCTTACAACACAGAATAAGCGTTGCACATGTAAAATTTTTATAAAATTAATTTTTCAAACTGAAGCCTCAAATACAAAACCATGAGACCACTTCAACTTATTACAAATGTTAACATTAACACTACCTCTCATTTGCCTCTTCCATTAACTTAGGGAGCTGGAAAAACCTATCTTTTTGAAGTGTTGGGTTTTATTAATAGCAATCAGCAATAGCTAAGTGAATAAGGCCACATAATTAATCAGTAATATAGATTTAAGAGACTGAGTGGGTAACAGTTCCAGTAGTTTCAATTCCCTTATGCTCAGGCCCTAAACTTGCACAAACACTCTCCCCACAGGCAGATCCCACCATTTAACCCTGAAACTCGAAGAGCACACGTGCAAACCAGTAACAGCACTATTCCATGCTGCCTCGTTAATAATCAAATCCTACACACTCAACAGCATTTTTGTTCAAAACTGAGCATTTTGGCCTGAGAAAACATACCAATCTTATTGAAAAAAGGTAATAAGAATATCTATTTCGACCCGGTACAACAGTTTTGTTATCTCACTGTTAAGACTGACACAAAGCATCTTTCCCAGGAACGATCTGTTTGCTGCGGAGGCTGAGGCGGGAATCAGAAACCACACGGGTCCCCTCCACCCCCACAACAAACCGCACCGGGCCCGCAGGCTCCGACCCCCGCTGCCAGCCCCGTCCCCGCTCCGTCCCCGTCCCACACCTCCGCACGCCTCTCCAGAGGAGGCCGGCAAAGTTCAGGCGGACGCGGCACGGCCGGGCACAAGGGCTGACCCCTCCAGCCGAGCACCACCGGCGGCATCGCCCCGGCGCGCAGCTGGAGCTGCCGGCTGGGCTCTCCCGCACGGCAGAGATGAGATGAGATGTGCCGGGCTGTGCCGTGACGTCCCGTGCCGGGCCGGGCGGGCGCTCACGCTCGGCAGAGATGAGATGTGCCGTGCCGGGCCGGGCGGGCGCGGTAATTACGGCAGGGCGGATTTTAGCGCAGACACGCAGCACGGGGGGCTCGTCTTCCCCCGTAGGCGAAGCTGCTCTCCTCCCGCACAGCTCCGCGGCGGTGCAGCCCTTTCGCCCCGGGACCGCGCGGCCCGCCCGCACCCCGGGGGTTCACGCCGCAGCGGGGACAGCCACGGGGACCCGCGGGCTCCCACCTGCGGCCGGCCCCGCGGGAAGGGACGGTCCCGGCACGGGCCTCCCGGGCAGGACCCCGCGGCTCGCCCCGCCTCACCTGCCGCCGAGCGGCGGTGCCGCCGCGCCGGCCCGGGGCGCTGCGGCAGCGGCTCCTCCGCGCCCTGCCCGTGCCTCTCCTCGGCGGCGGCGGCCACCGCCACCCCCCATCCCCCGTCCGGAAGCGGCGGCGGCAGCGGCGGCGGAAGGGGCGGGGCGGGCGGAAGGACGGGGCTCCGCCTGCAGCGGCTGCGAGCTCTGCCGGAGGCTTGGAGTGAGCGGATCAGCGGGTGTTCCCATCCTTCAACTCAGAGCATGTACCAGGACAGAATAACTGAGGAAACTTTCAGGACCCTCGTACTGTCAGGCCTCGTATCAGGCAGTCATTACAAAACCTTTCAGTTCCAGCATTGTTCTTTACTGATGTCTGTATAAAAAGAATAAAACTGGCTGTCAGCACTTGGCCGACGGCGCTCGGTCATTTATGCAGGGGATCCAAAACACATATGTGAACAGCACGCGTGACTTCGGGAGCTCCATAGTCTGCAAACACTATAAATGGAGGGGATAGAAGGAGAAAGACAAAGTAGAAGCAAATTCCTCCAGAAATAAATTTATTTTGGATACCAACTGTCTGGGGTAGCTGCCAGCCCTTTGCAACTGTTTGAGGAACACTCAGAATTTGTTTTTGTTGATGATGTAATTTCTAGGAGGTCCGAAACAAGTCTAAGTTGTAGCTTCAGTTGAAATAAAAGGAGTTGCCAGTGTATCCAGAAAGTGGCCTTGAGATCCTTGTTCTAAAAAAAAAAAAAAAAAAAACCACCAAAAAAAAAAAAAACCAAAAAAACTATTGCAAAATTTATATATCGCTATAGTGAAACAAGAAAATTTGCATTTCAAGATTCTTCAAAGCTAAGTCAAGTTGTTGACTCATCAAACAATCCTATGCAAATATGCACTCTTGTACTATCTCAATTGTAATGGACTGTCTACCAGATATTCAGAAGAGAAACTGTGAAGAACACCTCTCAGAAGGTGTGAGAACATCTGTTCCTTTCCACAAGCCTTGATATTGTTCAAAGATGCTTATCTCTATGCAGTCTGTTCTGTCCTACTTTTGTTTTTTACACTAAATGATCTGTAGTTCCCCAAAATGAGTTGCTGAAGTTGGAGGGTGTGTTCCACCGTTTTTGCCAGTTTAGTAGCATCTGCAAATAATGTAGGAATCAAGTGCAATTTCAGTCCTCACAGTGTTTTCCTTCTTTGCCTTTAAGCACTAGATGAAGAACTGATAAATCTGAATTCATCAGTGACAAACCATAGAACACATACATATAAATCTGAAAAAAATCAAATGGACCTTGTCTTCCTGTTTATAATGTCTCAGTTAATAAAGCTGGTTGAAAATTGAAGTCATTTTGCTTACTCCAGGTCCACATATTTATATTTTAAAAAACCTAGCATTTATCTGACAAGGAAAACAAAATTACAGGAGAGCAAGGCAACTAAGTTAAACAAGACTTTATGCTTCTCTATTATGTGCATTCTCTACTGTTTTTGACATTAATTCTTCTTCAGCAACTGCCACTCAATCATAACTTTTTGCACACTTCCATGTGCCAAGTTGGTACAATTTACAATACATGGCTGCATTTGCTTCTATCTAAACAACTGGTTTAAACCAAAAATGTAAAAATAAGCACAAACTAAAGTTAAAAATTGTGGCAAAAACAAGCATAGCAGGCTACAGAGCTGTCTCATCATGGAATAGGTCACTGACAGCCTTAAGCAGGTGTCCTGAAGCTAACTCATCATTTGGGATCTCATTCTTTTCATGGGAGGTACCAGGAAACTGCTGCTTTGTTCAGAGTGATATGGTTTTGTTGTTTTATTTTATATATAAGCATGCACTAGGGTCTATCAGCTCACTAGATTCCAGGAAGGAAACAAAAACGGAAGCAGAAGTTTCCTAACCCTGTTTCCCTATACTGTAGCAAAACCAGCAATTTACATTAAAAATGACATTCCAAATTCAGTCTCCATATTCCATACTTTAGCGGTCTGGGTTGGAAAATGACCTGTATTTAGACATGCATGTTAATCTAGGACTACCTGAAGTTTACAGGTCCTAAGGTGTGTTATTCCAGCAACAGATTTCCATGCAGGGAGCCCCTGGCCAAGAGCTGCATCCAGAGCGAAGGTGAAGAAGACAGACAGACACATATGCAGTGGAGAGCAGCCTGGGCCTGGCTGGGCTGGCTTGCAGAAGCGATTTGTGACAGGACAAGGAGTAAGGGCCATAAGAGACACAAGAAGTTCCACTTCAACGTAAGGAAGAACTTCTTTATGTGGAGGTTGGAAGAGCACTGGAACAGGCTGCCAGGAAGAGCATGGAGTCTCCTTGAGACATTCCAAATGCATGTGAATGTTCCTGTGTCACCTGCTCTAGGTGATCCTGCCTTCACAGGGAGGTTGGAGATTGGATGATCTCCAGGGAGGCCTTCAAACCCTAATGAATCTCTGATTCTGTGAACCTCAGCACTGGAAAAAAGCTTGATGGTCAGTTTCTATCTCAAGCTATCACTGCTAATAGCATTTTTCTTCTCTAATTTCATCATCTAGCAAATATTTTGAAAATTACTAAATAAGCTTGTACAGAAAAGTAATAGAGCATAATTTAAAACTTGTAATACTTAGATATGTAATAGCTGCTTAGTTGCTGCACTTCAAAACTGAAAACTACTTCTCGTTGCTAACATTTAATGTTCTTTAAAAGGGTGAATTATCTAAATAGTTAGTGCTTTATTTAACATTAATTTCCAATAAACCTCATTCCGTCACTTTGAGTTATGTCACTTCATGCCATGTGACATGAAAGCATTGATGTAAGTTTGACAGGCAGTGACAGTGCTGACAAGTCAGTTTGAGAATTTATGACAAATTGTATGCTATAGATATTTTTAAAACAGCTGTGGATTGCCAAGGAAAAAAAGTATTTCAAATGTGTAATAACACTGATGTATCTTTAGATTGAAAACAATTTATTCAATTCACATAGTTATATTGATGTAATGCTCCAACTGACACTTAATGCAATAAAAGAAAGGAAATTTATATCAAAAATTCCCAACTAGCTCAAGTTTCAATATATTATAGAGCAAAGGAAAATGAGATGTGTGAATGTAATGGGGTTTTTTTTATTATTTTAAACATTGTCATTAGCATTTAATAATTTGAAATAATCTATCTCAATTGGTAAGGCCCTACACAGAAAATAAAGGGAGTCAGCTGAACAGAGCTGAGAATAAATTGCTTATGAAAATTATTATTCAGCAAAGAATACAACATGGCAAGGGGGGTATCTTTCACTAGAAGTGCTAGTTGATTTAAATAATGTTTTTTTCTTTTTCTGGGTTTTTCTACAGATCAAGTCCCACCTTATAATTTCTTCACAGTCTCTGTACTTCAGTTGAAGCATACTTAGGTCAGTCATGTGGGAACTTTCACACATCTATTTTATCTTCAAATTTCTTAATTCTGTAATGGAAGAATAAGACATTGAATGCCTAAGGACTAATCAAATTAGTAAACCATAATAACTTTTTTAAGACTGAAAACAAGTTTATTAAGAAGAGGATAATAAAGGAAAAAAAAAAGAAAAATAATAAACTCCATGTACTCAGCAGACAAAATTGTTCCATTTGTTAAAAGTACATTTCTGTGGAGCACAAGGAAACATTGTCTCACTCACTTACTTAGTGTTGCCCAAAATGTACCAGAGTTCAAATACTTCTATTCTTCAGTAGTTAACCATCCTAAAAATCAAATTCTGAAAACGGGCTGAGTGAAATGAGAAGAACCTTTTTGCAGCTGGAGATACTGTATCTATAAAATCCTATCTAACTGAACTGTCATGCTGTAACATTTTCACTGTAAAAGCTGTCTTCTTTCAGGATATGTGAAAGGAGTCTGATTTTGGCTCTTTTTTCAGTAGAGAGATGACATCATACTGATATGAGTATTTTCAAGGGAAGAAATAGAAGAGCCACCATGAATTTCCTGTTTTCAACTGCTGCACATTTTCCTAGCAATGCTATGTGCTATTAGAACACTCCACGGCAATTTACACTGTTGCCACTAATACATTATTAGCCAAGGACTGTTTGATTTAGATTATTGCACCAAGTAATACCTTCCAAGCAATCACAAAGACATAGTCTGGTCAGAATGCTTTCTGTTGCATGTTCCAAGATTAGGCATGCATTAATTTCAGCTAAAACAGCAGCTGTTTAATGTTCATATATGATTGCACACAAATGTTTAGCTTAGAGTTGCCCAGCATTTAAACAGCCAGAAGAACCTCCAAATGACTGGAATCTCATAAAGTGCTTCCTGCACAGTGTGCTAAACTTGCCTCCATTTAGTGTGACCTTATATCAGTCTGTTGCTTTCTACATCCTTTCTTAGCAGATGTTGAAAGGGCCAGAAAAGAAGCACAGATGTAGAGAGGTAAATCCATCTGAAAGCCACATCTCTGGATCTCTGCCTCCTGGCTGTTTCAAAGGCAACTTCTGGCTAAGAAAGGTAAGTGACACAGCTTTACCAAAGCCACTTTTGCAGACTGTTAAATGTTTAGAATATGTACGTTGTAGAATGGCAGAGTTTTGAAGTTATACATACATATGTTCGAGGCACAGAGGACTTGGGGATCACTTTTCTGGAGTTCGTGTTTTTCTGTTTGTCACCTTTCATACCACAGATGAACTTTGAATTCTTAGTCATTGCAATTCATGAATTCTTAGTCATTGCACTTGGTGGAGAAGCCAATAAAAGTTTTACAGCTGAAAATGGTAGACTTAACCATGAGTTTCACCTTTTTCACAGAACTTGATTAGCAACAAATGGGCTGGGGTTACATTTATAAAAAACTGATAGTAAAGCCTCACCTTGAGTCTCCACCCAGAAATCTGAGCAAAGTAAACTAAATTGAACAGCTTAACCTGCTCAGTCAGTTAATTTTCCTGATTCATGGGCACACATTAATCAGGTTAAAGCGCACTAGTTTATCGAAACAACAACAACAAACCCAAGAACAAAACAGAAAAACAACCTAATGCATGAAGAGCATATACATAGTGCTTGAAATACAATTTTAGCCATTTTTCCAGTCCTCTCCTCTTCTGGGTCTGGCCA